TTGGCAACTGGTATAATTATAGTGAATAAGTATTTTGTATGGTAGCCAAAATACGACCTTGCTTACATTTTAGTACCTTTAAGACACATAACTGTATGAACAGCGCTACTTTTTCAGTTGTAAAACGTCTATCGTGCACTCAACCTATTATTTAAACAATATTTATTACCTGTTTGATATTTCTTAACAATTTCTTCTGAGAAATAATAAGCCTTGCAATACAAAAGTATCCGCCCAACTGCTACATCTCATTTGTATAATATAAGAATATTTGCCCTTTAACAGAAAAAAATATCCGCATGAGCCACGCCTCTTGCAGGCTTTATAATCCTGTCTAAACAGGTAGAGTTTAATCTCGGTCACTTTTTCTGCTAATTCCCTCAAGTACAAAACAGGTTAAATATTTATTTTGTCATATGTATTATAAACATATTAAATAGTTGAATTATTAAACTAATTCAATCCACTCCTTCAATGGTTTAAAGGTACACGTCCCTGATCTATTCTTTCTTTCACTTTTATCAATCTTGCTGGGTGGTAGTGGTAGATGGAACGAGTGATGTTGGATACCGCCACTGACTTGCAATTACAAAGAGCAAGCGTCTGTCCGTTACGATCACAATAATCTTCATGGATTGTTAATAATATTCGATATTATTATATATTAATATATAGGTGATGACAGATTTTTTTTACATAAATTCTCAGCAACAACCCTCAACACCCCCCCCCCCCCTCTATTTTTTTGAAGAACGTAAAAAATAAAAATGTATAAGTACTATCTTATTTGAATACTTTTTGAAATTTTAAAAATAATATATGTCTAAAATCTGCTATATAGTTTGCATACTCAAAAAATGGAAACAAAAATGGAATTGTAAAACAATTATCATCAAAACATATCAGTTGAGAAAAGATCGTGCTCTATCTGTGTTAGGCATCAATTAAATCAATCAAAACCCATATTAATAGTTATCACATCGTACAAAAGTTCTATTTAAAGGCTCATTATGCCTCAGAAATGTTTTGGACTTTATTTCTCAAAAGCCTTTGAATATTATTGTACTTATATAGCTGGCCAATTGCCTTAATATCTCTTTTTTTAGCAATTATTGCAATTAAAGTAAATAAATATTTTGTATGGAAGTCAAAATACATGTACTACTTTGTTTACATTTGCTACTTCCAGGACAAATTATTCGACATTTATCGTTACTTTTTTCAGGTAAAAGCATCAAATATTCTCTAAAACCATTATTAAATTTTAAATATTATAAAATTAATGTTAGCCCTTTCTGAAGAAGTAACAATTTATTTGATTTTAAGGCACAATGTGTCTTTAAATTTTTGATTTCCTTGTTCAGCTTTGAAAGTGCAGCTCATTGGCCATATAGACGTGCAATCTTTTGCTCCCCATGCATTTTGACACCTAAAACACTTACATTGATTAATTAAGTATTTCATAAGACAGTTCAAATTCCAAATTGTTTAAAGCTTGCTACTTTAATGGAAAAATCTTTTTGTTGCATTTTTCGCTTTTTTTTTTAGATTATAAGTATCAAAAATACAAAATACAGAATCGCAACATTAGAGCATATGCACGCTCTATCTACAGAAAGAAACAATATTTTATTTTTGGGACTAATTGTGCCTTTAAAAAAAGTATGGCATACGCATGCGCATTTTTGAAAGGTGTTTTTTTTTCTATCTCCATCACATCACTTGGTTATAAAATGACTCATAACCAAATATATTTTAAGGTTAAACCTAAAATTTATGCCCGTTAATCAGCAAAAAAAAATAAATAAATAAAAAGAAATGCGACATTAATGCAAATCTCTTAAAATATTTTCAAATCCTCCTCCATAACAATAAAGGAAACCGAAATACGTTTTTGTGCATACACAGAAATAGTGTACACATTAAGCTGTTATAAATAACAGTTGAATTTGTCAAGTAGGTGCGTTAAACCCTTTTACAGTGTTTCTTATTAACAATTTGGTTTCACACCTTTAAAACCGCAAGTTTCTCAAAAATGTCAATTATTCCGTAGGTGGCGGCGTAAGGTGGGTATTCTGTTCTGAATGGAAGCAAAGTTGTTCTATTGATAGACTTTTCTTAAAGGCAAGGTAATAAATACTTCCTCCTTTAGAAAGGATTATATATTTGTATATATTTATGCATGTATACTGCAGATGTTTCCCGCTATTGTGGTACTTGTACATTTTGTAAATAAAATTGATTGGAATTGAGTGAAAAAGGCAAACATGGGTTTCATACCGTCAAAATAATGGTTTGAGAGGATTTTAGCTGCTTACCACTTGAAAGAAGGAGCGCTGAATATAAAATTATTTGATATAAACGCAGTTAAATGTAAAACAAAGGGAAGTGTTTTGACTTCCAAACAAACAACATGTAAAGATAATATATAGTACATGTAATAACAGCATAAAAGCTACAGAAGCAAAAACGGTCTATAGAATAAATATTAGGAAACAGTAAAAGGGCACCAAAAATAAAAATAAAAAAGATTCAAAGATAAGTTAGAAAAAATAAAGCATTTCTGGTACATTCCGGTCCTTTAACCAACTCTATGGTTGTATTTTCGTTGATACGAATTTATTTTAGTTCGATTGTGTTGGAAGCTTACTGAAACACTTTCTAATCTGTTCCTAGAATCAACCAGTACTAAGCAATGAATTTAAAGTTTCTTGATCAAGAAACAAAGGCTTCTCCCTGACGGGGTTTAAACCCATGAAGCAAGAAATCATTAGATTACTAGTAAATCGCGGTAACCACTCAGCCACGCCGCCAATCTATGCTGACATGTTGTTGCCATACATAACGTTGTATATGGGGTCTGAACATACATGGGTTTAACGTCTCTACTTTGATGCATTCTGTCTGCAAATATCTTAATAACGATTTTATGATACAGCCCAAGTTAAACAAACTAAACAATGTCTTAATAATCTGCAGCAGCAGTGTATATAGATTATATAAATGCTACGCTCATCCAATGAAAAATTACGTTACATACGTGTAGTATCATAATACAAGTTCAGTCATTTTATTTATAAAAAATAATCTGATTTAAGGGATATTTTTTATATCTTTTAATAGCACGGACAACAAAAATCAAAATGTGAAACTCGCAAACTCGATTTGAGTCTGTTTCTTGTAGATATTAAAATACACAACAACATCCATCACACCTCACAAGCACCAGCTTTATTTATATTTATTGTTCAACACTTATGGGAATTAGCTTCAAAAAGCCCGAAAGCAACAACAACAACAACAATTACAACAAAATTAAAACAACAACACCGTGATGAATTACGAGGCCACGTTTTACACTGGCAACATATGGCTGTACATTCCCTGAAAGCAAGTGTGCCTTGTAACATTGAATAATATGTGAATGCCAAATTTGGAAATTGATATATCACAGCTTCTCCTCCCCCGACGACGGAATTGGTGATTTTAACATATCTGGCGATGGTGGTGATGGCGCAAGTTTATATTTAACAGTACATGTATATATAGAAACATGCTCATGTAGCTTTAAAGCAGCATGCCTCCAGATGTGTTAAAGTATGTCAATATACTCAAATATGAGAAAAATTTACTAAACTTTAAGAAAAACAAAAAAAAGATTCAATATTCAAGAAATAATCTACATGTTTTGTGCGATTAATGAATAAATTTTCAGTTTTATAACAATATTTCTACTGCGTTACTAACACAGTAAGGGCTATTTTTCATATTGTAACTACTTTTTGGTCATTTACGTGGGTTGCCAGTGTCATTGATAATGTGTTAATTGCTTCCTTTTGGATACTTCACAATTTTATGTTTTTAAATAAATTTTTCAAAACTTTCAAGAAAATATCATGAATCTGGAGACGTGCTGCTTTTAAATCATCAGCCTAAGTCCGATGTTTTCATTTTAAAAGTGTTGATCCATTTTAGTCATAACAGTTAACATCAGATGGAGGATTTTCGAGAATCAATGTAGTTCGGAATTCAAGTATAGTTTTAAAACTTAGTTATTTTAAATTGTTGATGTCTTAACTCCGAAACGGCCCGATACTTACATTAAATGAGCTTTGATATAGAAGCTTGATCGAATTTTCATATCAGCTGGGCTTTTTTGACATTAGCGCCTTTAAAAAATCACTTCCTTAAAGTTTGGATGCTCCACTACCAAATTTCAAAATGTCAAACAAACATTTTCCTGTTCCCTAATAACCCAATCTTTTAAATCATTTATCAGGGCATAGTTTAACCTGAAAAGTCTTCTTAAGCCTGTAAGCCAGGGCTATCTTCGTATATTTTTATTATCAAATTTAACTACAGTATTTTGTAATATTACGAAGAATTACCTGGGTTTAGGCCTATTCAGTGATTCAAGTTTTTGTACTTCATATTAATTGGGTATCTTTTTCTGTATCTTTTAAGTAATATACGGGAGAAAGTTGCCCAGACAAGTAAGGTTCGAACCTGCGAGCCCTGGGTTGAGATAGAAAAACAACAGAGATCTTACCGACAAGACAAATGCGCACCCTGACCCCCCCCCCCCCCTGCTCTCCTGCGTCCCCATGGGTTTAAAGGCCGACATCTTAATGACGAGGTCAATGCACTGCAGGCTGTGCTGCCCATAGCCTCACCCAACGCCACCAGAAACCTTCGCATATTTGGTAATGCTAGTAATGATTCATAGAATGTAATGTCGTTTTACATAAAAATACCATTTAAAGAGACCTCATTACTAAATCCGTTTCAGAGAAACCTGTTTAAAATTGGCAAAAGAAAAAAATGTTACGAGTAACTGACTACCTAGACTGTCAATGTGACTGATCACCGTACGCCCTAGGCCAGTGCTAATATTTGTAGTAATATATTGTATGGGGGTGATTATTTAACGATGATCAGCGAACCATGTCGCACCTATTGTTAGACTTTATACAACGCTAATACCGGTTGTTTAACATGTTCCTCTGACTCGTTCATTCACATACTATTATTATTAATGAAAATCTCGTCTAAGGTAAAAGATCAATTTTAGAACGAGATTTAACGCACGAGATTTCAAGACACACCCGTCAAATTTCGTAACTTTGAATCTGACTGAAAGACTGTTTTATGCATCCTAAGCAGGTATCAAGTTAAATATATAAATATCGTCAGGAATATGCATAAAATTGATTCAGCATTTTGAAATCAATGACGGATAATAAATTTTGAAAATAGAAAATTTGTCGTCTGCTAGATAATTGTTAGTTTCACTTTAGGAGGGATTTTGACGTGAAAAAGCATGCAGGAGTAATCTTTCGCTTTATATGGTAGCACAGGTGAAACAAAATGATCAAATAAAATCGTGAGAGCTCACTCGGTCAGTCTGGGGGATTAAAATTATCGGATTCATTCTAAATACGGTTCAGTGATGAAAACGATATTTTTGTGACATGTGAATTAGTCATTTCCACGTGGATTTTTTTTATTTCGGATACTTTTTTTACCATGTTGAGTAAGATTAATTACTAAACGGGTTGTGATTTTAAACAGTTGAAATTTCTCGTGTTTAAGAAGGATAAACCGTAAATTAATGTGATGTGCATGTACTTGTATGTAATTATTTAGGCGTGTTTATAATTATATGGATTATGATATAACAGTAAAGGTGTGTTTTGTGTTTTCTGTGTTAGGAAAAAAAAGGATATCTATTTAAATTATTCAAGAAATTTGAAAACAAGAAAATGGGGAAAATGTGGAATTGTGTTAGTCGGATATATTTGGATTTATTTATTTTGTGCTTAGTGTCCCTGTCTATTTTAACTGTCTCAGTGCAAGGTAAGACATTTCTTCTCTCCTTTTACTATAAGTATAATAGTGTGAAAACTATTGAAAACGTCAACTTTTGACCAATGTGAAATCTTCATTTCCACATAAAATATAAAGTCACAAAACACATACTAGGACAATGGGGTATTCTACTGAAGGAGAAAAAAAAATGTTGATTCCACAAAAGATACCCAAAAAGCATGAAAGGGGTCGTTTTGACAAAAGATGCGTCGGTGCATATAAAATGTATTAAACAATCAACAGATCAAATGATATGATGTCCCTTAAATTTCTCGTATTTGTCTGCCTTTGACACAGGGATTGTTTAAGGTTTCAGCTTGGGGTATTTACGATTTTTGTACTCTTTTAGGACTCTGAGTCACACAAAAAAATGTTTATGTGTAGAATTTAAAAGAGATCAGTTAATAAAGATTAATGATCGGTTATCTATCACATGTTACATGAATAACAAAATACATGAGGTTGACTTTTAAGATAAGGTGAATTATAGCTATAGATCGATCGTATTACGTATAAGTAGCAGTGATATATAAAAATATAAAATGTTATATACGCAAATATGAGGGTTAAATAACTTAACTGGCCAAATTTTCAGTGTTACTTTGGTGGTAGTTACATTTTCTCTGAAAATTTGGCATCACTGCCATGATATGGCGATATGCAGTTAACAGTACACTTGGTTTTCAAGCCATTGGCATGCAACCTTATTAGCATGCGCTTTAATATCATGTATGTATTGAAGTTGATTTTGAGTTTAACTTAAAACAAAACGGGGCATATGAACAGGCTTTCGCCTATTCACTTTTAGATTTTCATACTTAACTTATAACTCAAATATGGACTTATTGGGTCACTGATAAGTTACAATATCGACATGTCTTTCAGCTACATGTCGATTGAAATGATAAATCAGTGCTTTCAGTATAAAATATGTGTTTATGTCAGATGTAAACAAAAAGCTTTAAAAAACTCAAAGAAATACCTTCATTATTTGATTATCAAGTATTGACATTTTCTCAAAAAGGCCGACTGATAGATAGATATATCACTGTCATGTATTATGTATGTATATATATACATACACTGAGCTTGTGTTTTTACGAACAATACAAACAATGGACTGTTTTTATTTAAAAAGATGAGCGATATTTCTTTATTTTAAGGTTTAACAAATGGTGTTGCAAAGAACAATCAAAGTGCGTTATCGTAACCTGTTTAAAGATAGATACACACACACACACGAACAAAAAAAATGTATAAAAAAGCAGTATAGTTAATACACAATGCCATATAACACACAATGCCATATGTTTTTTAATGATATTATCAGATTAAGGTGGAATCGAGGTGTATTGATTTTAGCCCGTAGCTCAGCATGGTAATTTACAAACGATTGTGAGATACTCTATTAACCTTACGTGAATAATAATAGTTTATAGAATGTTCCTATATTAGAAGGTATTATTGGATATACATGTATATCAACTATCATACACTTGCGTTCTGTTCTGTTCTGATAATGATCTAGTAATGTATTAACAGTGATATCTTCCCTATAGTAAAAGCCCAAAATAGGTATATATTTTCCTCCTAAATACACTTCATTCTTCACTAGAACCGTGACTTAACAGCAGCTGACTTATATCAGCTAGTTGATTAATTTAATTGACTGAAACTCAGGAAGTTGTCCCTATAGATAGCCCATGCTATGTACTATGCATGTTAAATTGAATTGAAATTGAAAATTTTATTAAATGTGTGGGTACAGTATATTCCATTTTCAGTAGTTGGAATGTGATTTCTGATTTTCCCCTTTTTCTGATTTATCGAGCTATATTTCCCTCGTTAGAAAGGCACAGTTTGTTTTTAAAATTGGAAAATCAAATCACTTTTATATTAAAGCTGCATGCCTCTAGATGAGCTAAACTATTTCAATAAAATCAAAGTTGAGAAAATTGTACAACGATTCCAGGAAAAGTAACAAAGATTCAAGATTCGGGTGTAATTTAAATGTTATGTGCAGTTAATGACATATTTTTTCAGTATTTATTATTATATATCTACTGCGTTACTTACACAGGAAGGGCAGTTTTTGAATATGTTGACCTCTTTTTGGTAATTTACGTGGGTTTATAAATGTCATTGATAATGTGTAAAATGCTTCATTTTTTTAGTTTCACAATATTATATTTTTTATACATTTTCAATATTTCATGAAAATTAGCATTTATCTAGAGGCATGCTGCTTTAATACGGTAACGTGCTATCACTATTGCGTAATGTATCTGTATACGGGTATTTAATCCCCCAGATATTTCCCGCATACCACCAACCCCAACGTATGCAGTTTCCTTAGGAATGAAATGACTCATATTTGCATAGGTTACTAATTCAGAAAAATGTAAAGTTTCTAAAACTGGTGAGAGCACATGCCACCCCGTACCTGCAACACAATTTAAGCTAGCCAAGCTCCCCACCCCTATAAAATTTCCCGTGTACACAATTGTTACACAAGACCGCCATTTACCAGGGTACGGGAAATATGCCAGTTCCCAAACATGAAAATATATGCCAAGTGAAAGAGGCGCAGCATTTAAAATGGATGTGTAGCGAATAATTATTTTAATATACATTCAACGTAACGTCAATGCAGCGTGGCCCTGTTCAATTATTTTTTCCTGTCCTTGTGCAAAAGAATGTTAAGCCTTTTAATTCCGTTAATGTGGAGGGGGATTTAGAGATTAAAACTATTAATGCATATATTTGATAAGTTATTTAAATCATTTAAATTTTTGCCGTGTTAACTAATAGAAATTAACTTTTGATCGTGCAATATTAAGATTAATGCGCGTGACGGTGTGTGTGCGTGTTAAAAAAGAAATATTCCCTATAATGACTGTATACGATTTCGTGATGAAATCCGTGTCTTTAAAAGTCGTATACTGATCGTTATTTTAAAGTCTGTTTGGTTCTCTTTTTTTATAAACAGAGAATTGGAACTCCAGTGGTATTAATGTTGGTCTGCACACCCAGCAACTGCAAGTCCGATTCCCAACTAATTCAATAAAACATACTTTCGTCTTTTATGTTTTTTTTTTTCGTTTTTTATTTCGGATGATACATGTACTTTAATTCGAGACGTCGCATCTATTAGTTTATACATGAACATACATGTCAATAAACACGCCAGGTAGATTATATGGGGACTCAGTCATCAGTGGACGGCCAGTAGCAACCATTTACAAATGTATTGACTATTGATTCTATACAAATTACAATAAAACTGCGGTCAACATGAATGGCGCATCCATCGTGTCCCACACTGAATGACTTATCAAGATAAACAGAGTGTTAAAAACCCTTTATAAAGGCGGGAAATTTATTACACATTAAAATTACAAATACAAATATTCTAACATCGCCCCTAAGTTAAGTATAATAGAAATAATACATAACAAATACATATAGCTGACAATTCAAACAATGCACTACAATAGACTTGAAATAACCTGTTTTCATTCACAGACTGTCACAAGAGCTAATCGATATCGTTAGAAATCAATATTTATTGGACATAGGTCGTGACTTTATATAAAAGAGACGCTGTGTGTCACCGGTGATTGTAAAAAAACTCTTTTTGAAATAAAGCGGCGAATCGAGGTCACTTTTCTTGTTGAAGACTTATTACAAGTTTGTATTCAAGAGAGAAGGGAACACCCACTTTTCATCTGTAAAATATATGATAATTATGCTCCCATAGCAACTAGTATATTTGTATTGGATTAATAAGGGATGTATGATTGAATGATGCATTGAATCAGTTATAGATTATTTCATTAAAGTTATAGATTATCTTTCCCGTTTACCAAACATAAATGACAAATATATTATTTGATATACATGTACCGTTCCCGAATCCCCCCACATCCCCCAATTACCGGGCCCGAATCCCCCCACGCCCCAAATGATGAACTTTCTCGCCAGCATTAAATGCAGGGGGTTTACTCCGGTAGGAAAGTAACGAAAGACTTATTATGCATTATGAAAGATGTTTTTACCAGAAAATTAAAAAAATCTCCTGTAGGAAGACAAAGTTCAAAGAGAGACAGAGTTGTCTCTCGCACAGCGTTCGTCTGACAACCACGTGCACCCAGACACGTGACCGTACCTTCAGATCACGCAGGAAATGCATTGCACGCACCCTTCGCCGAAACATTTTCTCAAAATGCATGTTTTGTGTTCACTCTCCCTTTGAACAAATATAGATTAATATCGTCAAATACACGTTTTGCTTTTAATTAAGGAAATCCTTTTAATTTAATTAGCCGTAATCACCTAAATCACCGTAAAGCAAACAAGAGACATCACGCAGTTTTAGTTTTCAATCTTTTTCCTTATTCATTTACAATTTTAGGTATTTTTATACCATTTCTTAACCAAACGTCAGGCTAAGTTATATGGTTATTGAAGTTTGATTAGGGGGGAAAAAGAGGAAATTAAAATATAAGTTCCTTTTGTAGAACTAAAGCGGAAACAAAACTTCTGACTTATGATTTATTCCACCAATTTTGATTCAAAAAGTAAATCAGAAGGTTTGTAAATATAGGAAGCAATGTTTGTTAAAGATTACTTTAATATATTCGTGAAATGCCAGTCAGTTAAATCAGCTCCTTTTATAACGCTAAGCTAAAGAAATATCATCATCATCATCATCATCATCATTATCATCATCATCTTCATCATCATCATCTTCATCTTCTTCATCATCATCAACAACAATAACAATTACAAAATCAAAAACAACAATATCAACAATAAAAAACAGAAACAACAATAACAACGACAGCAACAGCTGCAAGAAAAACAAAAAAGTCCTTAATTACATTGTTACCACCTACATCAATAGTACATACGTACAGATAGTATCATGTGTCAAGAAGGAAATGCAGTTATTAACTATAGAGATACTTTTAGTACATTTTATTTCA